GTGTTTGCTTCTCGGTTTGATGGACAGCGTTCGCCATCAGGAACGCAGACGCGGAGGCGAGCGAAAAAAGCTTAAGGGCCGCCATGTTTTCAGCGTTGAACTTGAATATGTTAACGAGAAAACGGGAAGAAGGGGGAAGTTTTGAGGGGCTTCAAGCACAGACGTAACAACAATATGTGATGCAGTGTGTGTGCAAGGGGAGGCGGCGAGGGAGCGGGCTGCGACTGGCCCATCGGGCCCGGCGTGGGGTCACGCTGGTTATGCGCTGGAGTCGAGTTTACGCTCTTGTCGTTGTTAAAAATACTTCAATGATGCATTTCAATAATTATTGTCTACACAGTGCCCCCTGCCGCCGCTGAACGCGGCGTGAAACGCCAACGGAAAATCCGTGTAGTTCTGGCTGAATCGGCGATGCTGAGGGCCGAGGTCCCTCGTGCTCGGTTAATGTTGTTCTGTCCGCATGCCGACATCTTATAAGATACCTGAGCAACGTTTAAACTTTATTAGTATAAATGTTCTTGAAACTGCGGCTCTCCGCTCTCCCGGCCGTTCCCTATGGAGTTGTATGATGCCCCTTCAGAAGTGGGCGAGTTGCCCTGCGTCGAGGCTTTCTAGCCTTGTGCGCCAGAATATAGGAAGGGAAAGTGCTACAGGCGGCCCCCTTGCTACCACATTCTTCAGTTCCCCCTCTGTGCTCCGCCAGCCAAAAAAGTGAGAGATGCGCCCGGCCCCTACACTTACTGCTCTCGTCCGCAACACGCACGCATGCAGGGCGCAATGCGCCCACACATGTGCGGAAACACCTGCGCAAGCATGCAGCGATGCGAAAACTTGCTACACAGGTAGCTGGAGACTCGTAATGCCGGCCATTTAAACCAGCAAAAAGGAAGAAGTACGTAGGACTCACGTCAGTGCAACAAGGGCAGCCGAGAGAGGAAAGCATTTGCTGCCCATAGAAATAAAAAGGCTGAAAAGGCCCGTTCACTAGTGGCGCATGCAGCGCAAGTCCAACAGGCGCAAGCAGGAGTGTAGGGCGTGCGTTGAAAGCTGTCGATAGCTGCAGTCCTGTGGATGCAGCGGGGAGTAAACACCTGCTTAAGCTGTACACGCCAGTCAGAGAAGGAAGGGAAATGTGAATAAGACACTGCGGAGAGCGGCTTTGCTTCAATAGTATCGGCAGCCGCCGGGTGCCACGGAGAGGTCACTGCTTTAAAGGGCCAACAAGCCAACGGCCGCAATACCGACGGCCAGCAGACTCGGGGCAACAGCAGAGGCAGAACCTGTGATGGATGCCTTGATCTTCTTCCACTGCTCTTCGCTGCGCGCAATTCGCCAACAGATGAACAACGCACAACACTGAATTAGCATCGACACTCCCAGCCCTGTGGTGAGCTATCGTTTTGCAAGCGTCGGTTGCCAACTTACTCGAAGGGAGCTGCGTCCGCTTTAAGTGCTTCAGGTGTGGTCATGCACAGTAAAGCATAGCCTGTCTTCCCTTCACCAGCATTCCGCAATTCATCTGTTGGGGGGTCGGGAGCTGCCGTTTGTGTGCAGGTAACGACGCGGCAGTCAGCAGCGGCATCGTTTGAAGGGTTGTACATGGCAACAAAAGAAATGTTCTGCTGTTTCTCGTAGAGTTTCGTATGCTCATCCTTCGCCGGAGGGATTGTAGTGAAGTTGTTGACGGCGTCCTTCCAGTGGCTCACTGCGGCGGCACAGTCGGGCGTCGCCGATTGCAAGGCCATGTAGGCGTATGTACCACTTTTAAATCCATTTGCACTTGTGCTCTTTTCTGCTTGTTCTTCGTCTTCCTGGAATGAAAAAAAGCACGGATGAAGAAATGAGACGGCCTGAAGTAGAGATAGGAGTACGAAGGGCAGAAGCCGCAATGGAAGACACTTACTTTTATCAGAGCTTCACAAACAGGATTCCATGCAGTATTGTGCTGCTCCTCTGTTTTAGCTTTAGGCAACATGTGTTCTTCTTCGGTGGCCACTTTGAAGTGTGCGAGTCCAGCGGCTTCGCGTGCCTCGTTGATTTCCGCGAGGCACACTGCAGTCCCCCCTGCATAAAAGCGAAGGATGCAGACATCCTAGGCACAAATGTGCAAATACTGATACTTTCAAAATTGGGTTTGAGCCATTTGTTGGAGTCTTTGTGCACAACTCATTGCCTCCAATGCATTTAGTTTGGACCATCACAAAGGCTAAAACCCTCCCCACCCTGCAACTGTTTGCCAACATACCAAGATTTACAGTGTAGGTTGACGATTGTGCTCTCGCTGTCAATGGTGCTTGCTTCTCGCTTTGATGGACGGCGTCGGCCATCAGGAGCGCAGACGCAGAGGCGAGCGAGAGAAGCTTAAGGACCGCCATGTTTTCAGTGTGAAATTGAATATGTGAAAGAGAAAACAGGAGAAATGGGGAAAGTTTTGAGCGGCCTCAAGAACAGACGTATCAATATGCTACGCAGTGTGTGTGCAGCAGGAGGCGGCGAGGGAGCGGACTGCGACTGGCCCATCCCGTCCGGCGTGGGGTCATTCAGCCTATGCGCTGGACTTTAGTTTACGACCTTGTCGTTGCTAAAAATACTTCAATGAGGGATTTCAAGAGTTATTGCCTGCACAGTGCTCCCTGCCGCTGCTCAACGGGACGTGAAACGCCAGTGGTACATCCTTGCCGTTTTGGGTGAATCGGGGATGCGGAAGACAGAGGTCCCTCGTGCTCGATTAATGTTCTTCTGTCCATGTATCACCTCATTATAGAATACCCGACTAATTTATGAACTTTATTAGTGTACATTTTCTCGAAATTGTGGCCCGCCGCTCTTCTGGCCGTGGTCCGTGGAGCTGTGCGCCGCCACTTCAGACGCGGGCGAGTTGCCCGGCGTCGATGCTGTGAAGGATTGTGCGCCCGAATATAGAAAGGGAAAATGTTACCGGCTGGTACTCTCCCATCAAACTCCATAGCTTCCCCTCTGTTTGTCGCCAGCCTAAAAAGTGCGAACTGCGGCCGGTCCCTAGACTTACTGCTCACGTCCGCAACACGCACGCATGGATGGCGGTATGCACGCTCATATGTGCTGAAACATCTACGCAAGCCCGCAGCTACAAGGTGCTGTATCGATAACCGGGGGGTAATAATGCCGGCCAATTTAGCCAGCAAAAATGAAAAAGTACGTAGGACAATGTCAGTGTAACATGAGCGACTATAGAGGCCAGCATTGGATGCCCATTGAAATAGAAAAGGATGGAAAGGCCTGTCAACTAGTGGCGCATGCAGCGCAAATCCGACAGGCGCAAGCAGGAGTGTATAGGGCGTATGTTGAAAACCTTCGATGGCTGCAGTCATATGGACGCCGCGGAAAGCAGACACCTGCTTAAGCTTTACACGCCAGTCAGAGTGTCTGTTCAGAAGGAAGGAACATGTAAATAAGACGCTGCGGAGCGCGGCCTTGCTTGAAGAGTACAGGCAGCCGCCGGGTGCCACGGAAAGGGAACTGCTTTAAAGGGCAACCAAGCCAAGGGCCGCAATGGCAACGGCAAGCAAACTCGGGGCAGCGGCAGAGGCAGAACCTGTGATGGATGCCTTGATCTTCTTCCACTGCTCTTCGCTGCGCGCAATTGGCCAACAGATGAACAACACACAACACTGTATTCGCATCCAACGCCAAGCCCTGTATGCAACTATCATTTTCCATGAAATTGTTGCCAACTCACGTGAAGGGAGCTTCGTCGTCTTTAAGTGCTTCAGGTGTGGTCATGCACAGTAGAGCATAGCCATGCTTGTCTTTCTCAGTGCTCCGGAAGTTGACTGTTCCCGGTGTAGAGGTGGAAGCTGCTGGTAGAGTGCAGGTAACGACTCGGCAATCAGCAGCGGCATTCTCTTGAGGGTTGTACAGAGCAACAAAAGAAATGTTCTGCTGTTTATCGTAGAGTTTCCCTTCGTCATTCTTCGCCGGAGGGATTGTAGTGAAGTTGCTGAGGGCGTCCTTCCAGTGGCTCACTGCGGCGGCACAGTCGGGCGTCGCCGATTCCAAGGCCATGTAGGCGTATGTACCACTTTTAAATCCATTTTCATCTGAGCTGCTTTCTAGTTGTTCTGTTTCTTCCTGAAATGAAAAATGCACGGGTGAAGAAATGAGACAGCTTGAAGTAGAGAGAGGCGGAGGGAGGTCGCAGGCAGGAGTGCAGGACACTTACTGCTATCAGAGCTTTACAAACAGGATTCCATGCAGTATTATGCTGTTGCTTTGCCTGCACAGTAGTTGGCGGCCACGTTAGTTGTTGGCTCTCCGTTAGGAAGTGTTTGAGTCCAGCAGCTTCGCGTGCAGCGTTGATTTCGTCGAGGCACACAGTAGTACCATCTGCAGAAAAACGAGCGATGCAGACATCCTAAGCCCAAATGTACAATCACTGATACTTGCAAACGTGGATTGGAGCCATTTAATGCCCTTCCAAGGATTTCTCCGCTTCCAAACCCACTGAACCACCAGCAAAGCTAGTCGCCTCCAATGCATTCACTTTGGACCAACGCAAGGCTTGGCCCCTCCCCAGCAAACAAGTATTTGCCGTCATACCGAGATCTACAGTGTAGGTTGGGGATGCTGGGCTCGGTGTCAATGAAGTTTGCTTTGCGGTTTGATGGACAGCGTTCGCCATCAAGAACGCAGACGCAGAGGCGAGCGAAAAAACTTTAAGGGCTGCCATCTTTACAGTGTTGAAGTTGAATATGTGAAAGAGAAAACTGGAGAAGTGGGGAAGGTTTTGAGGGCCCTCAACTTCAGATGTAACATATGTTATGCAGTGTGTGTGCAGGAGGTGGCGGCGAGGGAGCGGACTGCGACTGGCCCATCCGTTCCGGAATGGAGTCATTCTGCTGATGTGCTGGAGTTCGGTTTGCAACCCTGCCATTGCTAAAATTCTTTAATGAGGTA